CTCATTGACGCATCCATTCCATCACTCATTCACTTAAACATCCATCACTCAATCACTCATTCACACACTCATTCATTCACTCACCCACTCATTGATGCATTCATTCCATCTCTCACTTAAACATCCATCACTCACTCACATTCACTCATTGATGCATTTATTCCATCACTCATTCATTCACTCACTTCTTCACTCACCCACTCACAGTCACTCATTCACTCATTGAAGCATTCATTCCATCACTCATTCACTTGAATATCCATCCATCACTCACACAGTCACTAATTCACTCATCCATTCAAACATTCATTACTCATTCATTCACACACTCACTGTTCTTTTTCTCACTATTCCACTCACTCACGTGAACACTCCCTCCTTCCTCATCCAACGTGCTGAGCACTACTGGCTGCCAGGCCCCACTCTGAGGAGGAAGACAGGTGTCACACACTGCGTGGACAGCTGTGCCCTGTGCCCGTGACCAAGGCAGGGAGGGAGAGAACCACGGTCAATGTTAAGTGGGGTGGGCAGGGGGGATGTGTAAGAACATAAACTACAAAGGGCGAGAGGGGCGTGGGATCCGCAGAGGACAGTCCCTGTGGCAGGGACAGCCAGCCTGTGGAAAGGCGTGCAGAATCAGCTAGCCTGTGGAAAGGCCCTGGGGTAGGAGAAGTTGTGCTGGGCAGAACGGGTGAGATCAGAGCAGAAGATTTGAGCATCAGAAACAGGTATTTGTGTGAAGGTTCCGGATGTATAAAGCTTGGCGACGACTTCGTTTTCTTAAAAAAGCTCAGCGCCCACTCAACCCACGTCCCCAATCAAAGACGCAGGCCAAACCCAGGGCCACTTTCACATGACCAAAGGGGCCTGTGCACAGGAGGTGCTGTGGCCCATCACGAGGATCGGACAGCTTGCTAATGATGCAAATAAGGTGCATGAGACGCTGGTGCAGTTCAGACGAAGCAGAGAAGACGCATGGAACCCCCATGAGTGGGCTGGTCAGGTCTGTCACTCAGAGGCAGAAAGGGGGAAGGCCATCACCTCCAGGAAGAAGAGGTGGACGGAGATGGGAGCAGAGCGTGTCCTTTGGACCCAGGGTTCCTACACTGGGAACCTCCTAGACCCAGGAGACAGAGAGAGAGAGAGCTGTAACACCAGAGACAGGGCAAGGCAGCAAGTCACGGAGGCAGACAAACAGCCAGCAAACTAGGAGACTGGCCGAGAGATTCCTCCAACGGTCTTCTCTTTCCATGGTAGGAGGGAGTTTCAGTGAGTGTGCCCACCCACTCAGCAAGAGAGCTGAGCGCCTCTGGGCAGGGGGCTTCCTCTGGCCCCTTGGCAGTGCTAAATGGGTTTTGTAATACTTGCCCAAGCAGGATGGAGGCTGGGCCAAACAGCTGAGGGGCTGAGGGCCAGAGAGAGACCCAACTGCGGGCATGGCGGAGAAGAGGTTTCCTGACCAGGAGCACTGTACCCTGAGTCATTCCTGGTCCTGAGCTGTAACCTGCCCCTTCCCTCACAAACCCCGCCACGTGTGAGTAAAGTCTGTGAGTAGTCATGGCAACCAATGACGGAACTGGCAGGGAAGTAGAGGGCTGGGGAAGAGGGTGGTAAGAAGGTCGCCAGGAGAAGGCACGTCCGGCCTCTGCTGATGGTGGTTCTCCCCCTTGAGAAGTTACACCATGCTCACATCACTCCAGCCCTGCTGTGCCCTGCTCAGGGGCACAGAGACACCCCCCCCCAATCTGGCCCACCTGCATCACCAGCGCCCCCACGCCCGCCCCCACCCCCGGTTACAGTCACAGCTGTGTCCAGATGGACCGATGTGACCTTGAAGCAAAGACAAAGCACCGGTTGGCAAGAATGCAGGGTGACTGGGGATGGACCTTGGTCCCTTGCAGAAGACCCCTGAGCTAGCACACTTGATCTTCCCCACCAGATGGCAGAGGCCACTGGGGTGGGGGTACCCTGGTGACCACTGCAGCCCTCTGACTCATGGCCACTGACTCTTACAGACCCTGTGCCAGACACAGGTGTGGGCAGTTCCCGCCTACTGGCTTGTCCCACCTCGCAAGAAGGAGGTAAGTCTATTTTGCAGATGAGGAAACTGAGGCACGGAACGCCCCTGTAAACTGCCGGGAGCCACATATGGGCCCTTGAAGCCAGAAGAGGAGCCCCAAATTGGTGTTCTGAACCATGAACTCTCCTGCTGGCTTTCAGGGTCCAGTAACCACCCCCTCCCTCACTCCTGTCCCTTCCCAGGTCACTGGGTGGGTGATAAGCCCCCGGCAGAGCAAGGAGCCATCTGTCTTTGCTCCCCTGGCACCTACACCGAGGGAGGGGTTTGGGGGTAAACTGAGGCTCTGTGAGGTGGGGTGGATCATCACCCCAGCCGGGCTGACACCAGGAATGAGACCTTAAGGCTCCACATAGCTGGGCCCCCGGAAGTCAGGCTTCACCCCGAGGCTGCAAGAGACCCTCCAAGCCCCCCCTCCCCCCCACTGTGACAGAGAGAAGGCACTCACCCCCCTCCACCAGCTCCACAGGGACCTAGGGGACTGGGGGACGGGGCCCTACTCTGCCGGGCTTCGGTCTGCTGGAAACGTGATGGCAAAGCCCAGTGTCCCTCCACAAAGACCACACAGTACATCCTACGGAGGGTGGTGAGCAGGGACAGGGGGTGTGAAAGCTAGCATGATGGGTCTCTCCCTGCCTAGGAGGATGAGTGAAGACCGTGGAACCTTCCAGGGGCACTCGAAGGACCGCTTCCTCTGCCCGGAGCCAAGGAACCACAGAAGGTGGTTCCACAGAAGGTGGTTCCACAGAAGGTGGTTCTGAGCCGGGACCACAGAAGGTGGTCCTGGTCAAGAAGGGAGAGAAACCATATAAAAAGACCAGACCTGCTGGTCTGACAGACAGTGAAAGCTTAGCCACCGGCAGGCAAACAACAGATACGCTTTCGACATGCTCCCTCGGAACATTCAGTGATGATCTATGACCACAGCAGCACCAGTCACTTTGAAACTAAGCTGGGGGCGCAGACAAGGGGACTCAGGCAGGGGCCAGAGCGGAGGTTGAATGGAAAGGGGAGACTCGGGGAGGAAGTAAGAAGAGCACTGTCACATGGAGGAGCCTGCAACCAATGTCACGAGGCCAGACGTGCATCCGGTTGTTGATACATTGTATCAACACGTGTATCAATCGCTGACTGGGAAACA